TTTGGACTTTGGTAGTTACAATCAATATTGTAATTACAATTTTTATAAATAGTTTATATCAATTTTATTTTTGGAAGTTGTTAACTGAACAATTTCCTGAACATTTTATTTATTAACCGTATATAGATTTTATTAATTAAATTTATTTATATACAAATTTATTTACATGTAATGATTTGAACTGAAATCCCAAAAACCCTCTTTATCTATAACTCTTCCATTTCTTGCATATTGACTTATGATTATATCTTTAAAATTATCATTTCGAACAATTTTATATGAACCTTCCAACTTCCATTTGATATTCAAATCTGCAGTTCGTCGAATTCGTACTGGAATTTTATCAACTTTTAATCCTCTTCGAATCGCTTCCTGGAATACGTAAAGCCGACGATTATCCGAAGAGAAGATCATATCGTCGATAATACAGACTTGGACATGTGGGAAATCTTCGATTCGAATACTACTATTAACAAGCTTGATAATAGTTTCCTCGATGTCTTCACCATTCCGAAAAGAAGAGTTAATAGTTGATTGGCTGAATAAAATCTCAAACAGGTTTATCGTTGTTGTATAATCTCCGTCAGCCAACCGCAATTTTAATATAAGGATTTTTATTCGAAGGAGCAGAAGACCTCCGAGAATCTATACAAAAATAAACAAAAAGGGAGCCAGGATAATAACTAGAATTAACAAAATTAATTCTATTTGATAATTTACACTTGATTCGACAAGCGTATCTTGAGAAGAATCATTTGATCGATTCTCCTCTACGGTTTGGTTGTAGTGATTATTTGAAGAATTTTCTTCTTCGAATTCTTCTGAATCGACCGTATAGGTGGGTCGATCTTCGATATCATCCCAAGGTTTTTCATCTTCTTGGGGTGTATCATTCCAATGGGAGTTCATTTCATCTTCCCATTGTTGAGAAATTTCATTGCTTTCAGGTTCAAAAGCAACTTCTTCTTGGTAAACAATGTTTAATTTTTCATCGTTTTTTTGTTTCTTGTTAACGAATTTTTTGAAGAAAGACATTTTTTTAATAATAATAATTAAGTAGTTTGGTTTAAAAATATTGTTAAAATTTTATTAAGTTGTGTAACTTGAAAAAGTTAGTTCGTCAGGTTAGAAAATTGTTGTTTAAATAAAGTTTTCTTATTAAATTTAATATTGCTAAATAAAGTTTATCAAATAAAAAATTTACCAAGTTAATAATTGAACTAATAAATTTGTAATTGATAATTTGTGTATATTAATATTTCTAAGGTTTCATTTAGTTGTCAGATGTAAAAGGACAAGAATCAAGTTTTGCCAAGATTCTTTTACGATTTATTGGGAATCGTGATATAAACATTTCCACAATTCTTCTGTTATACGGAATAAGATCTTTTAAATCTCGTGGTCTACCATTATAATTTTCTACTATAAACCATTCTTCTTCTTCAGTTAATTTACGTTCAATGATATCTGCTATATCACCAAGTGTAAGTCGGCAAATAGATAAAAGTGCTTTATAATCATTTGCTTTAATCATTTTCTTTTTTATTTTACGCATTTGTTCGTACATTTTTTCAAGTTGTTCTTTTGATTTTAAATCCATTTTGTAATAAACAGGTATTTTAATTAAATTTAAAATATAAACAGGTTCTTATATAGAAATTTTTTGAACCAATTAATTTCTAAATAGATAA